CGTCACAGTTTCATTATATTAGCTGCGCTCAGCCACACTATGTAATAATTTTGGTTCTGTACATTTGTCTACATTTGGCCATGTTACATTTTTACTTGATTTAGTACTGTAACAAAACCCCTTGATTGCAGTAGTTATGGTGGTTTTTCCCTTCCCTACAGTGATTATGGTGTGGGCCTCCTTTCCTGATGTTTTATTGCAACGAAGGACATGTCCCTGGACTTTGTTTTCCCCTTGTCATTGCTGGATTTTATATGCCTCCAACCACCCCGCATGTGGAGGGTGCTGCTGGTTAACCACCCAGAAGCTGTGGTTAACCGCAGCCTAATTGACGAAAGGCTGGGTGGTCGTCGTTCATATGAACGAACACGTGGCAGCAGCCATTTTGTGTAGCCGAATGCGATCAGCGGTGTTTTGTTGTCAAACGCCTGAAACCAAAATCGGACACTCATTTTTGGATATGTTGTTCGCCCAGATGAGAGCTATCCAGGGATGTATAATTTATGGGGATATGTTTGAGTTTTGGGGTGTTTCTGAACTTTGGGTAAAAATTGGTATTTTCTGCCTGTGGATAATTAAGTTATTCCATTAGCTATCTTAATTATATCACAGGTAGACGGGAGGGATTGCTGACTGTATGTGGGAGTGTTACAGTAATAATTATTGTTCATATTGGTTTATGTTCCTTGTGTCCTATCAGGTCCAGGGGGTGTGCCTCTCGCCTGAAAATGTGTATAAAAGAAATGCATTCGTGCTCAGTAATCCAGACCTTCCTACCCTCAGCTTGCAGCCTCGTCTTGTGTTGTAGGGAACATCTATAACTGCTATATCACTGCTAGCTCTTTTAAGAGCTCTCTTCAGCTAAACTAGCTCCTCAGGATATCGGGTTGGAACTCTGCAGCGCTCTCCATCTATGGGAAGAAGGATGTGCAGACTGTAGATACCCTCACTCTATAGGGGTAACCGTCACAAGTACATTCTACCTAAGTTCACCAATTCAACATTTCCACTACATTCAATACATTTGATCATGCTACATAGTCACTGAGTGTGCACTTCCTGTCAGTCCGCCGGGTCGCGGACCGGATAGGAGCTCGGCCACGCTACAGGGCAGGGGAGTTGAGGAGAAGCTGCTGGGGAGGGGGGGAGATGATTTGATGGGGGGGAAGATGATTTGATGGGAGTGGGGGGGAGATGATGGAGGGGGGGAGATGATTTGATGGGGGAGATGGGGAGGGGGAGATGACGGGAGGGAGGGGGAGACGATGGGAGGGGGAGATGATTTGGATGGGGAAGATGGGAGGGGAGATGATTGATGGGAGGGGGGAGATGATTTACGGGAGGAGGAGGGGAGATGATTTGATGGAGGGAGGGGGGAGGATGATTTGATGGAGGAAATGATTTGATGGGGAGATGGATGGGGAGTGGGGGAAGATGATTGATTGGGGGAGATGATTGATGGGGGGAGATGATTGATGGGGAGAGATGATTGATGGGAGTGAGGGGAGATGATTGATGGGAGGAGGGGGGGAGATGGATTATTGGGAGTGAGGGGAGATGATTTGATGGGAGGGGAGAAGAGAAGATTATGGGGAGAAGAGAAGATTATGGGGGGAGAAGAAGAGAAGATTACGGGGGAGAAGAAGCGATTACAGGGGGGAGGGGAGAAGATTACGGGGGGAGGGGAGAAGAAGACAAGATTACAGGGGGGAGAAGAAGCGGAGAACACAGGGAGGGGGGGAATAAGAGGAAAACACGGGGGGAGAAGAAGAGGAGAACACGAGGGGTGGGAGATGAGAAAGTAGGGGAGGGAGAGACCACTAAAGGAGGGAGGGGGCAGTGGAGAGACCGCTAAGGGAGGGGGTGGAGGATAGACCACTAGGGGAGGGTGGGGGGAGAGGAGAGACCACTAATGGAAAGTCGGGGAGAAAAGGAGACCACTAAGGGAGGTGGGGGGGAGAGGAGAGACCACTAAGGGGCAGGGGAGATCTCTAAGGAATGGAAGGGAGAGCTCTATAGGACAGGGGGACAGGGAGCTCTTTCACACCACGCGGCACACACACACACACACAATGCATCCCTATACACACAGAAACACAACATGCTTCCCTTACACACAGAGAAACACACAATGCAACCCTTACACATAAAGACAATGCATCCTTTGCACATATACACAGAACACACACAATGCATCCCTTACACACACATGCAAACACACACTGTTTCTCTTACACACACACACAGAAACACAATGCATCTCTTACACACACTCAACACACCCCTTACAGACACACACACTGCATCCCTTACATACACAGAAACACACTTTGCATCCCTTATGCATACAAACACAGATTCACACAATGCATCCCTTACACACAACAAGAAACACACAATACATCCCTTATACACAAACACTCTTTCTTTTGCCTAGGGCGGCAAAAATCCTTGCACCGGCCCTGATAGTCACTTTGGTTTAGTACGGTGGGCCACGCTTCATATTCTCTTTGGTTCGGCTGCATTACATTTTCACTTTGATTCCGTCTAGTTTTGGCAATGCTACATGGTCACTGTGGTTCACTCCATTCAGCTGTGCTACAATTTGAATTTGGATCAGGACATTCGGTCAAGCTTTCATTACTTAAAAAAAAAAAAAAAAAAAAGTACCACTAGGGAACCACATAACCATGCCTGAGAGGCTCCATGTGGGGATAACCAATAACAATTCAATTAGATTGCAAAATAGACAAATAGCCCAAAAAAGGGCATGTGAGTCCAAACATGGAGATCCCTCCAATAGATAAAATAATGGTAGAATAACTTTATTAGAATATGCAACAATTAGAAAAATTTGAATGAACAAGAGACAATATACAGGGAGTGCAGAATTATTAGGCAAATGAGTATTTTGACCACATCATCCTCTTTATGCATGTTGTCTTACTCCAAGCTGTATAGGCTCGAAAGCCTACTACCAATTAAGCATATTAAGTGATGTGCATCTCTGTAATGAGAAGGGGTGTGGTCTAATTACATCAACACCCTATATCAGGTGTGCATAATTATTAGGCAACTTCCTTTCCTTTGGCAAAATGGGTCAAAAGAAGGACTTGACAGGCTCAGAAAAGTCAAAAATAGTGAGATATCTTGCAGAGGGATGCAGCACTCCTAAAATTGCAAAGCTTCTGAAGCGTGATCATCGAACAATCAAGCGCTTCATTCAAAATAGTCAACAGGGTCGCAAGAAGCGTGTGGAAAAACCAAGGCGCAAAATAACTGCCCATGAACTGAGAAAAGTCAAGCGTGCAGCTGCCACGATGCCACTTGCCACCAGTTTGGCCATATTTCAGAGCTGCAACATCACTGAGTGCCCAAAAGCACAAGGTGTGCAATACTCAGAGACATGGCCAAGGTAAGAAAGGCTGAAAGACGACCACCACTGAACAAGACACACAAGCTGAAACGTCAAGACTGGCCAAGAAATATCTCAAGACTGATTTTTCTAAGGTTTTATGGACTGATGAAATGAGAGTGAGTCTTGATGGGCCAGATGGATGGCCCGTGGCTGGATTGGTAAAGGGCAGAGAGCTCCAGTCCGACTCAGACGCCAGCAAGGTGGAGGTGGAGTACTGGTTTGGGCTGGTATCATCAAAGATGAGCTTGTGGGGCCTTTTCGGTTGAGGATGGAGTCAAGCTCAACTCCCAGTCCTACTGCCAGTTCCTGGAAGACACCTTCTTCAAGCAGTGGTACAGGAAGAAGTCTGCATCCTTCAAGAAAACATGATTTTCATGCAGGACAATGCTCCATCACACGCGTCCAAGTACTCCACAGCGTGGCTGGCAAGAAAGGGTATAAAAGAAGAAAATCTAATGACATGGCCTCCTTGTTCACCTGATCTGAAGCCCATTGAGAACCTGTGGTCCATCATCAAATGTGAGATTTACAAGGAGGAAAAACAGTACACCTCTCTGAACAGTGTCTGGGAGGCTGTGGTTGCTGCTGCACGCAATGCTGATGGTGAACAGATCAAAACACTGACAGAATCCATGGATGGCAGGCTTTTGAGTGTCCTTGCAAAGAAAGGTGGCTATATTGGTCACCGATTTGTTTTTGTTTTGTTTTTGAATGTCAGAAATGTATATTTGTGAATGTTGAGATGTTATATTGGTTTCACTGGTAATAATAAATAATTGAAATGGGTATATATTTGTTTTTTGTTAAGTTGCCTAATAATTATGCACAGTAATAGTCACCTGCACACACAGATATCCCCCTAACATAGCTATAACTAAAAACAAACTAAAAACTACTTCCAAAAATATTCAGCTTTGATATTAATGAGTTTTTTGGGTTCATTGAGAACATGGTTGTTGTTCAATAATAAAATTAATCCTCAAAAATACAACTTGCCTAATAATTCTGCACTCCCTGTATATGCAGATTAAAAAGCCATAACGCTGTGGTGGATGATGGGGGTTAAGCACTGTGGGATTAAATTTTAGAAAATACAAATAAACAAACCATTTCACAGAAGGAGCAATTCACCCGGGTCTTAGACAGGGACTTCCCTTAATGCTGCAAAGACCCAGACAAAGGTCTCACAAAAACAGATTTTAAACTTACTTGAGAAAACTAGCATTAGAGACTGCTCTTCTGGTGATATACCAGGTAGAAATTTTGAAGTGAAAAATATAAAATAACATAGACATAGAAGCATAGAATGTGATGGCAGATAAGAACCATTCGGCCCATCTAGTCTGCCCAATTTTCTAAATACTTTTATTAGTCCCTGGCCTTATCTTGTAGTTAAGATAGCCTTATGCCTATCCCACGCATGCTTAAATGGACACTATAGTCACCCAGACCACTTCAGCTTAATAAAGTGGTCTGGGTGCCAGGTCCATCTAGGGTTAATCCTGCAGAGAAACTGCTATGTTTACATTAGGGTTAATCCAGCCTCTAGTGGCTGTCTCATTGATAAGCGCTAGAGGCGCTTCCGCGCTTCTCAATGTGATTTTCACAGTGAGAAGACGCTGCCGTCCATAGGAAAGCATTGAGAAACGCTTTCCTATGGACTGATTGAATGCACGCGCGGCTCTTGCCACACATGTGCATTCGGCGGATGGCGTCGGAAGAGGGAGGAGAGTTTTCAGCACAGAGGGAGCCTGGCGCTGGAGAAAGGTAAGTGTTTAACCCCTCTTGAACCCGGCTGGAGTGGGACTGTGAGGGTGGAGGGGACCCAAAGACCCTATAGTGCCAAGAAAATGAGTTTGTATTCCTGGCATTATAGTGGTCCTTTAAACTCATTTACTGTGTTAACCTCTACCTCTTCAGCTGGAAGGCTATTTCATGCATCCACTACCCTCTCAGTAATATAATACTTCCTGATATTATTTTTATTATTACATTTTTTAAATTATTTTTTTCTTCTTTTAAAAATAGTCTCCTCATTTACTGTGTTGATTCCCTTTATATATT